TTGTTCTGCGATATTTTTATCTCATTTACTTCAAATGCAGATTTTTTCCAAGTAATTTCAGGTCACTCAAGCGTTAGTGGCTCCTGTCGCGTGATTGATAACTGATAATAAAGTTGGTCTTCCCATCCCCCCTCCCCCCCAAAGGGAGGGCTTTCCTTAAGTTTCCTGTTTTTATCTTTAGAAATTTCATGAGTCTACAACAATTTGTGTATTTCCCATACCATAAAGAAAAGTGTATTTTTATTGTGATTTCTCCTTTGACTGTTGCAATTAAACTTAACTAAGCGGTAATCAATTAGGGACACAGCATTATTTCTACTTGAGAAAAAAACTAAAAAATAAGTCACAGACGTTGAAGATAAAAATTAAACCTTAGAAAGGGTGATGTTTTATATTTTATTGTCAGCCAAATGTAATGAGGCCAGTGATCCATGTGGGACTTTGTCAAACGCCTTTGAGAAATCCATGTGCAACAGCCATCTACTGGCGAGACTTGGTCCACGTAGTCTGTTACCGTTTCAAGGAACGTAAGTAAGTTTACTAAACAGGATTTTCTTTTCATGGAACCGTGTTTTGATGCGTTGATGAGACTGTATTCGGTCAGGCGTTGGATGATGGCGTCCCTCAGAATTTTCTGAGTTTGCATATATGTGATGTTAGGCTGAACGGCCTGTAGTTTTCTGTTGCACTTTTCCTACTCTTCTTGTATACTGGGGTGATGTTGGCTAATCCCTACCCCATAGGAGCTTTACCTTGATCCAAGGATTTCCTGAATAAGAGTCTTAGTGGGGTCCACCCTAGGGGATTTGAATTATTTCAACCTTCCTACTTTCCTTTTGGTGGTCTGAGCCACGCATGCCACGGGTAGTGAGGACATCTCGGCGATCTCATTCGCTGACAATGATGTAGTCAATGAGATGCCAGTGTTTGGATCGTGGGTGTTGCCACGAACCCTTGAACTTGCCGGCCTGCCCAAACAAGGTATTGGTGATAGTGAGGTTATGTGCCAACTCTGACATTGAAGTGGCCAAGGAGCACAACGTTGTCTTCTTTGGGGATAGAGGCTAGCACTCTGTCGAGGTCGACATAAAAGAGCTCCTTGGTGTCATCCTCTGTATCCAGTGTTAGGGTGTATGCACTGATGAAGAAGGCATGACGTGAGTGATTCAGTAGGACTCAAAGTGTCATGAGGCGCTCGTTGATCCCAATAGGCATTTCAGTTAGCCTGTGTTGGATGCGTTGGAGGATGGCAAAGCTAACTCCATAAGTGCAGTTTCTCTCTGCAGCAGGCTTACCCTTGCAGAAGAAGGTGACGCCAGACCCTCGTTGTGTGAGTTGGCCCTCACCTGTTAGCCGGAACTCACTGGTGGCTGGTATGTCGATGTTATACCTAGCAAGCTCTTTTGCCACAAGGGCTGTTCTTCTTTCAGGATGCACATTTGTGCTAGTATCCAGAAGGGTCTTGACATTCCAAGCAGTGACCATAAGAGGTTGTATGGTTTGTTTTTGTTTGGATCTGTGATTTTGGTTTTGTTTTCGACTGCATAAGGATGACCTTTCTGGGTGCGGTTGCCCAGTCAGGTTGGGTATTTAGGCAGGCTATGTTTGGAGCACTTTTTCTAGCCCCCTCCCCATGTGGCGTGAGCAGAGTGGCTCCCCAAAAGGGCTGCTCAGTAGCACAGATAGGACCGGATTGCACTGCTGCCTAGATCCCACTTCATAAACGACCATCTTATCTGTGCCGCCCATGTGCAGAGTTGTGACTAGAGACTCCCAGCGGTCATCTCTACCTGTCCCTTTTGCCACTCGTCCGTCGCCATAGGACTTTTGGGGGTATGGGGGAGTTGATGATGATGATGATGAGAGGTATGATGAGCTGGGTGATGGCTGCGCATTAGTTGGCTTATATGGTGAGGCAAGAGAGCAGGCTGTAACAACACAACTTGGCTCTCCGTTTTCCTGATCTAGTGGTGCAAGTGTTGCAATGACTGGGGAGAGGGAGAGTTGCAATGGACTGCCGATAGACCAGTTTGTTGGGTTTCGCCTTAGTAGCCTGTCCATCAGGCATTGCCTTCGTCAGCCGGTGTAGTCGTTTGGTTTCCATGGTGGTCACCTCTTCCGCCTACACCGCCGTTGGGCTCTTGCTGTATAGCTCTGTAAGCATGTCTGCCTGAGGCGGGGTTCCACCGCAAATTTTTCGTTCTGGGTTTACTCCCGTAGCCTTATACCTGCCAAGGTTACTCCGCAAGGCAGCATGGCGGTAGTTGGTAGGCGCCAGGACGTCTCCACATGCCAGTGGGCCTATGCGACGTCGATCTGGGGCCTACTGCTAGTCCAAGATCTCCTGCTGATCTAGTCTGGGCCCACGAGGCACCCAGTTACTGTGTCTTGCCACGAGGAGGCACAGCAGATCTTTTGATGGTGAGGAGGCTGTGTACTGGCAGGGGAAGACTTATGCAAGTTGCTTCCCTTTTCGCCTTGAGGGGCGGCAGCAGAAAGAGAGAGGGCGCAAGCAGTGCTTGCACCTTAACACTAACATACTGCTGCCACTCTAGACGCATTTCACCACCCTGTGTGTGGCCAGACACACACACACATACATACACACACTGCCCGTGAGACTCAGCAACACCAGCTATGTGTTAATCCGTCCACGATAGGGAGGCCTGGGATCACACCTCTCACTTGATTGAATGAGGTACCGTGACACCAGACCACTGTGTCCCCATGATGCTAAGACACCACGTAGTGAATGAGTTGCTACAGCATCATGTGAGGTTCCTCATAACACCATCTGTGAGGGAATTACTACACCACGTGATGTCCCTCATAACACCATATGCTAGGTAATTACTACACCACGTGATGCCCCTTATAACACCATCTGTGAGGGAATTACTACACCACGTCAAGCCCCTCATAACACCATCTGCGAGGGAATTACTACACCACGTCAGATCCCTCATAACACCATCTGTGAGGGAATTACTACACCACGTCAATCCCTCATAACACCACCTGTAAGGGTGTTACTATACTACGTGTCTGCTGTTCAACACCTCAGCACACATGATCGATATGACCTCCACTATAAACATTAATCTGTATGTTCACTTTATGATCCTTCACCTTTCTCGAATAGAGGCTTATGTTAAACCACTAATGTCAATGTATGTAGTAAATAATTTATGTCCAATGTATATTTTCAGCCTTCGGGCTGCAGAACTTTTTCAATAAACCGCTAATTATTATTATTATTATTATTATTATTTTTACACACACACACACACACACACACACACACAAGCAAACACACACATACACAGACACACACAAACACACATATACTAGGAGGGGTAGACGGAGATGAGAAGGTCGCTGCTGCCTCGTCGCACACCAGACACTAGCCAGCCAGTACCACAGTTGCACTTCTCCCGCTGTTCGATTCCAACTCTGGTTGTGTGCTCATGTGAGGCTCCTGGGGCTCGTGGGTTAATTCCCCAGTCCTTCACTATTCGGCTGTCAATCTCCAGACATCTACTCCAGCTACTACTGCGGCTGCCACGTCGTCACCACTTCCTCCGCCCTATCCACCGTCCGTGCCCTGGCGTCTCTCCTGTCAAAGCAAGACATCGCCCACCAACGCCGGCGCCAAGTGAGGAAGCTGCTCTGGCCTTCCACCTGTGAGCGGACCACCGCGTTAACAGAACATTCAACCGGGCTGCAGCAGTAGGAAATATCTGTACTTTGTTTGACTCCTGTAATTGTTTATTTAATATTTGTGTGAGTGGTGTCAATTATTGTGATTATTCTCGTAGTAAAGAGATGTCAATCTCTAACGGTTGTTTGTTACCCCTTGGAAACCCATGGTTCTTGAATTTCCTTTTATAAGATCCTGATTAGGCTGGCAAGGGATTTATATCCCAAAGTCCAAGTGGCGACCTTGCCAGTATTGTCTCTAACCTTGGTTTCTGAGGGTTAACATTCGTTACCGGTGTTTGTTGTAAGTCGCCCTGTGCGCGCCGCTTGCTGTCTGAGGCCCGGAAGTAAGTGTTGTTTGGTGCTTTTCCCTTCCTTCTGTTGTGCTAAATTTGTTGATCTCCCTCGTGCTAGGGAGGTTAATTAGTGTTGGTTGGGGTGCACTGTAGATGCTGCCATTGCGTTATGTTGTTGATTCACCTGGTGCAGTTCTATTCCCTGAGGTGATTTAACTGGACTGGGTGTGAAACAAGGTTTCCTCCAGCAGGATCGAGTCATTTACTGGTTTGATTGAGCCACTAAGTAGTAACTTTTGGCTAGTTGCGGGGTAAGTTGTTAATTTGTCACTTTGGCTCTTGGCCTTTCGTATCATTATGTCTAGTTTTGAGGAGTTGAAAGGTCAAGCAGTGGCCCTGGGTCTGACAGGTGCTGAGGTTGGTCAGTATGTGGTCACCCAACAGACTGCCGAAAGAGAGGAGTGCAACAAAGAGAGAGAGGAACGCAACAGAGAAAGAGTTAGAATTAGCTAAGTTGCAGGCAGAAAAAGACATAGAACTAGCTAGGACTAATGCTCCAAGTAGACCAGAATCCTTTGGCCCTATACAAGATAATGTTGTAAAACCTAGTTTGCCTGTTTATCGTGAGGGAGAAACATCGCCTCCTACCTTGTTAGGTTTGAATGGGTAGCTGAGTTGCTTGGTGTGGACAAAGATAGCTATACTGTAAGATTGGGTAGCCTACTGAGTGGTAAACCGATAAAGATTTATACGTCCCTGTCTGCCGACATCACTAGAGATTACTCTTTGTTGAAGCAAGCTCTCTTGCGAGGGTTTAACAAGACTTCTGATGGTTATCGTGTTGATTTCCGCAGAGCAAAGATTAGGGCAGGGGAAACTTACCAGTAATTTTCAATCCACCTGGGTCGTTTGTTTCAACAATGGCTAGAGGCGTCAGAAATTGATGAAACCCTTGTGTCTCTCACTAACTTCATGATATTGGATCAGTTTCTGTCTTCTCTACAGCTAAACCTGAGAAAATTCATCAAGGAACACAGGCCAGCGACGCTAGGAGAAGCTGCTGTTCAACTTGCTGACAACTGGGCGTCCACTCGCAACGCCTACCCGAAGTCTCCTACTCTTCCAGTGAAGAACACGAAGCGGCCGTCTTCCGAGGAACCATTCCCAGGAGTAGAGAAGAGTAGTTCACCGGCCTTGATGTGCCACACCTGCGGAGAAGAAGGGCACATTCGATCTCGCTGTCCCAGGAATTCCCGCGCCTTCAAATCTACCGACATTCATCAGCCCAGCTACAAAGTCGGATTCTGTTTGGAAGACAGGTGCTGTCCCCGTTATTGTGTCACTGGAACGATAAATGGGTCTTGGGCATCTACTATCATTAGGGACACTGGTTACTCGTGTATTATTGTCTCTGAGGAAGCCCTGCCTGACGCTGATGTCTCCAGCTGCTCGAAGGTTAGTGTCCAGCTTTTGAACTTAGAGTACTCCGTGTTAGGGTGGGTATTAATAGGACTGCGGCTCACGTGACTTGTTAAGTTATTAATCTCTCGCCTCCCTCACCTCTGCAACAACTCTACGGGTATACCACCCGATTTTTCAAGTCCAGTAGATAATGCAAATTTATCTCCCATAAATTAATAGGAATTGAGGCCTAGAGAGAGAGATAAAGAGAGAGTTGCAAACATTATTCATGTTATCCAGTTATTTATTTATACATAAATTTTTCTTCTTGTCTTGCTTTTATTATTAGTCATAAATTTCATTAAATATAGTTTTGCTTTTCTCTATTTTAGTGGGACCCTTCCTAACTCCCACCATCGGCTTGTTTCAGTATTTCTGGTAGGAAACCTCCCCTTGCATTCCGAGGTTCAGTCACTGACCACTTAGATTATACTGTAATCACCCCAGTTGAGGCTTCAGTCACGCATTATCTCAGACCTGTATAGAAGGTCGACTTCGTCTAGCTAAAAGATTATTTCTGCGTTTTATTTGCGAAAGAATATAAATCTTTTGATTAGTTGAAAGCCCTAATTAACTTACAATTACATAAATATCATTTAGTACACATATGTCCTTATTATACGTGATATTATATTTGTTTTTCATCAATCTAGGGATATACAGTATATTCTATAGCAAATAAAACGCGTCACCTTTCCAAAGACGGAGGTTATAGCTCCAGCGGTTTCCAAACACAGGGTCGCGACCCCTAAAATGAACAAACGAAAATCGCCTCTCACTCTACGTCTCTCGAGGGAATGCAAATTCAGATGCTTTAATCTGTCTCTATACTCAATGTTCCTAATGCTCGGAATAAGTCTTGTCATTCTCCTCTGAATTCCTTCTAGGGAGTCTATATCCATTTTGTAGTACGGTGACCAGAACTGAACTGCGTAATCCAAGAGAGGTCTTACAAGCGTGTTATGCTATTTCCTATAGAATAATCGGGTTGGTATTAACAACGTATGAGGGTGGACTTAAATATTAGATAATTAAAGCACATAACACTGGTATGGCATACGGCAGCACTCCCACGACACACGACAGTACTCCCACAGCACACGGTTCACGTCAGGACTCCCACAGCACAATTCTCACTGCAGGACTCACACGACTCACGGCAGTACTACCACAGCACACAGCTCACGGCAGGACTCCCATAGCACACGGCCCACGGCAGTACTCTCACAGCACACAGTTCACGGCAGTACTTCCATAGCACACGGCTCACGGCGGGATTCCCACAGCACACGGCTCACGGCAGGATTCCCACAGTACACGGCTCACGGCAGGACTCCCACAGCACATGGCTCACGGCAGTACTCCCACAGCACACAGTTCACGACATGACTAAAACAGCACACGGCTCACGGCAGGACCCCACAGTACACGGCTCACGGCAGTACTCCCACAGCACACACACAGCTCACGGCAGGACTCCCACAGTACACGGCTCACGGCAGGATTCCCACAGCACACGGCTCACGGCATTACTCCTACAGCACACGGCTCACGGCAGGACTCCCACAGTACACGGCTCACGGCAGTACTCCCACAGCACACACACAGCTCACGGCAGGACTCCCACAGCACACGGCTCACGGCAGTACTCCTACAGCACACAGCTGTAGGTAAATTTTCCACCATATAAGTAAAAATAATATTCCTTCATACCTTCCACTACGGCTAGTAATTCCTTTTCAACTGTGCTGTAATTCTTCTCTGCGCGCTTTAGTTTTCTGCCATGGTATGCCATCGGACATACCGCGCCCTCGTTTTCTTGTAGAAGCACAGCTCCGATCCCGTCCAGAGAAGCGTCTGTTCTGAGAATGAAAGGTTTATCAAAATTAGGCAACTAAAGAATTGGTTGTTTACATAGCAGATTTTTTAAGATGTTGAATGAATCTTCGTGGTGAGAAGTCCATTGGAATTTGTTTGGTGCATGTTTTTTCAAAAGCTCGTAGAGTGGTAGCGCAATCACTGCAAAGTTTGGGATGAAATCCCTGTAGTATCCGGCAAGGCCCAGGAAGGATCTTATTTGCTTTTTCGTGGTGGGCCTCTCAGCGTCCTGAACATTCTTGATCTTCTCTCGCTGGCAACTGCATCTACCTCCTCCTACAGTGTGTCCCAAAATTTGAACTTGATCTCGGCTGATCTCGCATTTGTTGGGCTTAACGGTAAGGTTGAAATCTTGAAGCCTTTGAAAAACGTTTGCAAGGTAATGATATGCTCTTCAATTGTAGCAGCGTGAATGAAGATATCATCCACGAAGACTTCCACTCCACGAACATCGTGCAGGACCTTCCGCATTGCTCTATTGAAAACAGCAGGACTGTTAACGAGACCAAAAGGGAGAACTGTATACTGGTACAACCCATTAGGAGTGCTAAAAGCTGTGATTGGTCGGCTGTCTGGATGAAGAAGGATTTGGAAAAAAACTTTTGTTAGATCTAATTTGGAAAATTCCTTTCAGCCGGATAGTCTGGAGAATATAACCCTCTGGTCACACATTGGCTTTGCATCCACATTGGTAATCACCGCAAATTCTCACACCATCTTTCTTCTGGACTACTAGGAGGGAACTGTAATACGATGTTGAGGACTTTTCAATTATGCCTGCTGCTTCCATCTGTCCAGTTTCCTGCTTGACCAGCTCCACCAGTCTCTGAGGAATGATGTATGGCTTTACCCGTACAGGTGTTGAACTAATTAATTGTATGGTATGATCATTAACCAAGCCAACTTTAGGCTTGTCCGAAAAAATATCTGAAAATCGGCGTAGAAGGGTCATAACTTGTTCTTTCTCCCGATCAGTGAGATTTGTCCCCAGGGTTATATTATCAACTGTCTCCACCTGCTGGGCTTGCACAGTCACTCAAAAAACTATTTCTACTTGGGGTGATCGATGTATTACAGAATAAACACTACGACTCATGTTGTCTCGGTAGTGTTGCCATAATCTTTCGTCCTTTGTGTCATATTTTTTCAACGCAATTTTGTATAGATATTTTTTTGAGTGACTGTACAGTGATAAGTTCGTGTTCGTTGTCACTGGTAGTGATCACGGCGGCTGCACAAATGATGGAGTTATCCGGGCAGTAGTGACCCCTCACTGTTTCTAGGTACTGCTGTTGTTCAGGTGACCATTCATGGAATCCAGGTATTCCTAAGGATGGATAATCCTGCTTGTAATATTCTGGATACATCTTTTTATCATATTTATGTGAAATCTTTTTCGATGATTTCCTACTTGGATAATATAATTGTAGTCAGATACACGTTGGATAATGTCGTAAGAGCCCTTCCACTGCGCCAGAGGTTTGTTGTGCACAGCGGGGAATAAGACCAGGCACTTGTCCCCAACGTTCAACTAACGAAGCTTTGTTTTCCTATCATAGTAGCTCGTCTGAGTGTGCTGGGCGTTGATGAGCTGTAGTTTGGCTAACTCACATGTAGCTTGAAGACGGTCAGCGAGGTCAATGACACAGGTCCTTACTTCTGGGTCAGGCTGCTTGTCATCCCAAAATTCACGCAATATATGCAAGGGTCCTCGAGCAGTTCTCCCATAGAGCAATTCGAATGGGGAAAACTTAAGGGAACTCTGCTGACCCTCGTGATACGCAAAAAGCAAGGAATGTAGCGAGGCCATTCCTTTGGTTGCTCAGCTGCCATCTTCTTCAGCAATATCTTTAGCGTCCCATTCTTTCGTTCACATAGTCCGTTGCAACTTGGGTGGTAGGATGATGTGCGTATTCCTTTTACCGACAGCAGACGGAATACTTCCTCCATCATGGTGGAGGTAAACTGACTACCTCTGTAACTTAGCACTTGCTTGGGAATGCCAGTTCTGCAGAATATTTCCATCACTGCTTCAGCAACAGTTACAGCTTCGATATTCTTCAGCGGTACGGCTTCGGCCAACCTCGTGTGGAAGTCAATGAGTGTGAGGATATACTTTGACCCGTCACTTGCCCTAGTAGGGTTGATGAGCTCCACAAGGTCAACGGCAACCCTCTCAAAAGGCTCAGAAATTACTGGCAGAGGCTGTAACGGACTAGGTCTCACTCGTCCACGAGTGGCAGATATCGTACGATCGCATCAGTCTCTCTATCTCCTTCCCCATGCCAGGCTAGAAAAATACGGCCTGTATGCGATCAAGATTTTTTTTTGTATCCCATGTGACCACCGAGACCAGCACAGTGGCCCATCTTAAACACTTTCTTACGGTATTTAGACGGAACCACAAACTGTAGACGTTCCTTCTGGTGTGGTGTTACAAACTCATGATACAAATGGTTCCATTTCCTGACAAATCTTGTTCGGTGGCCATAAGAATTTCTGACGGTCCCTGCCAGTAAGTTCCTTCATACCGTATTAGGGTGTGTCATACGGAGGCGAATGTTTTTTTTTTGAGTTTGAAAAATCGGCCCATGGTATTAATGATGTAGTTCTATGTGCAGAATTATGTGATATCTTCAGATTTGAAAAGTTGTAATTTTTTGCTAGGTAAATTTTACTTGAAATCTTATGAAAATTCAGTATTCCCACCCTTTTACCAACACCACTAAACAGCTTATTTAAAGTAAAGTAAATGTATCAGGTTAATTTATTAGGATGAAAATGACCCAGAATAGTGAAACGAATGATCTTGACACATTTATTAAATTTAATATTCCTTTAGAAAACAAAATCATCAAATACAAAAACCGGTTTTACTACTACGACCCGGTGTTGCTGCACACCATAGAGAACATGGTTTTCTTGCTTCTGTTTCTACTCATCACCTCCCTGCTGACCACCTGAGCTCGGATGTAGCCTTCCCTCCTCTCCTGGCTGTACACGTGACTGCTGGCCTCGCTCACTTGCTGTACACAACGCTCTATACTCTGGGTGTGCGAGGGCCAGGCAGGGACATGCATGGGGTTGTCCAGGAAAGCTCTGACTTGAACATTGGT